CCTAGCAAGCAAAGAATTGAGACTGTAAAAAGGGGGAAGGGTTGGAAGGACTTTGAAACCAGCCAGGGTCTCCATGTGGAAGGTGGGTGAGGGCTGATAAGACAGGCCTGCGGGTCAGCTGTTTGTTACAGTGATGGGGAGTTCAGTTTAGGACCTGCTTTCTGCTTAAAGGTGGAACTCTTCTAATCACTCTAAAATCTGCATGGGTATTGGGATTGTCTTGAACTTTGCTGTGCGGCATGGAAACATGGAGGTGGCTTAGTGACCGACATTTAAGGATGTTTGGTTATGCGGTTCCTGAGATACACCTCCCCCACCCCACCAATAAAGCTTCTCTTAAAGTTCAGGGATTCTAAGAATATTTTTTTTGCACAGCCTAGGGATCAAACCAGGGCGCTGCTTTGGCACAAAAGTCTCAATCCCTTGAGAGATACTTCAGCAAGCGCACGACACCCACTACCCCTTTGGGTCAGCAAAATTGAAACTTGTATTCACCGAAGCATTTAGCTGTCTAGTAGGCACCTACATGCTGGCTTGTGCCAGGTCCTTCAGAACAGTCGTAACCGTCACGGGGATGTGCCACTTGGGGGTGACCGGAGACTTATATTGTCAGGTGCAGCCAGCTCCTTATTGGATTATTGAATTAATAAACAATTAAGTAATTAGTAACTTCAATCTGAATCACATTCAGTCATGTTAATTTGATCAAATTTCTAAAAAAAAAAAAAAAAAAAGATCTGACACTGACGTATTTTCGTATTTTTAATTTTTTTTTTTTTTTGGCCTTTGTAGATGGAATTGGGAGCCATGAATAAGGAGCTGGCAATAAGAAGCCAATTTCAGCCTCCTAACAGTTGGACCAATCAAAGACCTACCCCAGCGGCTTTTAACCTTTCCAGGCAACTGTGCCCCTTTCAGGAGGTGATTCGTCTGGTGTAACCCCCAAGCTTCACCTCACTTAAAAACGGCCTGCTCACAAAATCAGACAGGAAAATACAAAAGTGTCACAGCCCCTGAACAGTACTGAACAGTTGCTTCCTTTCTCACTGTTACCATATAATGGTAAAATAAATCCACTGGAGTAGAAATATTGGACTTCCATTTCAGTGTATAGTCTGTAGAGCAGGATAAACAAGTCATGGTTTGTATGGGATTTTAGTTTGTGCTGACTTCACTTTGTGCGATTTTTATGGAGCCTGTTGTAAACCTAGGCAAACATCTAGATGAGTTGACGTCCCTCCTGGAAGGCGTCTGGGTACCCCCAGGGGTACGTGTACCCCCATTTGTGAACCACTGGCCTAGCCCATGTGTTTGAAACCCTCTGGGCTCCGTGATTCAGCTTCTATCAGCTTTCCCAGATGTGCCTGTGGACATGGGGGCTAATTCCATTGTTTCAGCCACTCGATTACAGTGCCTTCGTCAGCGTTATTCTGAACGGAAGGCAGGGGCCAGGCCTGCCCCATAACAAGGTTTAGCCCAACCCATAACAGCATTTACACCCTAATCAACTCAAAGTCACCTCTCGATCTTCTTTTCGAGAAGCTAACAGGTTGAGCTCTGTAAGGGCAGATCTACACTGGGAACGCTGCATAGACACCATACGCAGCAGTTTAAGGAAGATGCTCTAAGTGAGGGGCGGGCAAACTTTTTGGCCCAAGGGCCACATCTGGGTATGGAAATTGTATGGCGGGCCATGAATGCTCACGAAATTGGGGGTTGGGGTATGAGAGGGGGTGAGGGCTCAGGCTGGGGGTGCGGGCTCTGGGGTGGGGACAGAAATGGGGAGTTCAGGGTGCGGGAAGGAGCTCCGGCTGGGGCAGAGGGTTGGGGTGCGGGGGGCAGAAGGGTCTGGATGGGGATGCAAGCTCTGGGGATGAGGGGCTGGGGGTGCAGGAGGGTGCTCCAAGCTGGGACTGAGGGCGGGAGGGGGATCAGGGATGGGGCTGGGGTTTGGGCCACGGGAGGAGGTCAGGGGTGCAGGTTCCGGGTGGTGCTTACCTCAAGAAGCTCCAGGAAGCAGCGGCATGTCCCCTCTCCAGCACCTACGTGGAAGCGCGGCAAGGCGGCTGAGCGTGCTGACCCGTCCACCAGCACTGCCCCTGCAGCTCCCATTGGTTGCAGTTCCTAGCCAATGGGAGCTGTGGGTGCGGCGCTGGGGCGGGGCCAGCGTGCAGAACCCCCTGGCTTCCCCTACGTGTAGGAGCTGGAGGAGGGACATGCTGCTGTTTCCGGGAGCTGTGCGGAGCCACAACACGCGTGGAGCAGGGCAAGCCCCCGACCCCACTGCCCAGCTGGAGCGGGGCAAGACCCAGACCCCGCTCCCCGGTGGGAGCTCGAGGGCTGGATTAAAACATCTGAAGGGTCGGATGTGGCCCTCAGGCCGTAGTTTGCCCACCCCTGCTCTAAGTGGACAGAAGAAATATCTCCCTTCACCTTAGTTAATCCACTTCTGCAAAAGGAGGAAACCAAGAAGCTCTCCCACCGACATAGTGCTGTGTACATGGGGGTTAGGTCGTTATAACCACTTTGATTGGGGGGATGGATTTTTCAGCCTCTGAGTGATTTAGTTAAAAACATAAGAACGGCCATATGGTCAGACCAATGGTCTATCTAGCCCAGTATCCTGTCTTCTGACAGTGGCTAGTGCCAGGTGCCCCAGACAGAATGAACAGAACAGGGACTCATCAAGTGATCCATCCCCTGTTGCTCATTCCCAGCTTCTGGCAAACAGAGGCTAGGGACACCATTCCTGCCCATCCTGGCTAATAGCCATTGATGGACCCATTCTCCATGAACTTATCTAGTTTTTTTTAACCACGTTGTAGTCTAGGCCTTCACAACATCCTCTGGCAAGGAGTTCCACAGGTTGACTGTGCATTATACTTACAGAGGTCTGTAGTGTAGACCAGACCTAAGACTCTTGCTATAAAGCACATTCTCCGGCCCCTGAATCTTTTCTGCACACCTTTCCAATTTTGCCAACACCCTTTTTAATATGTGGACACCAGAACGGCAGGCAGTATTCCAGTACCAGTCTCACCAATGTTGCAGAAATGTAAAATCACTTTCCTATTCCTACTCACTGCTATTTAAACATGGTGCAAAATCCTGAAGCCAGGGTGGGTAGGTAATATCTGTTATTGGATAAACTTATATTGGTGAAAGAGACAGAGCTCTTCGTCAGCTCAGGCCCAGACTTAAGTTGAAGTGCTCTGTGAAAGCTTGAAACCTTGTCTCTGTCGCCAACAGAAGTTGGCCCAAGGAAAGGTATCCTCACCCACCTGGACTTATTGAGCTAGGGGACTATACAAACACAGAACAGACCTCTGCCCTTTGTGCCTTTGAAAATCAGCCCCTAAAATCCTAGTGTAGACAAGGCCTTTAAAAATATAATGACAGAATAAAATAACAAAACAAAATCTTGAGCTAGCAGGCTTTGTCCCTTTGTAGTTTGCTTATAGAAAGAAAAAGATCATGGAGTCATTGTGGATAATCCCCTGAAAACATCCACTCCGTGTGCAGCGGCAGTCAAAAAAGCCAACGGAATGTTGGGAATCATTTAGAAAGGGATGGATAATAAGACAGAAAATATCAGATTGCCTCTGTAGAAACCCATGGTACGCCCACACCTTGAATACTGCGGGCAGATGTGGTTGCCCCATCTCAAAAAAGATATACTGGAATTGGAAAAGGTTCAGCAAAGGGCAACAAAAATGATTAGGGGGATGGAACAGCTTCTGTATGAGGAGAGATTAATAAAACGGGGACTTTTCAGCTTAGAAAAGAGATGGGGGGATAGGATAGAGGTGTATAAAGTCATGAGTGGATGGAAAAGTAAATAAGGAAGGGTTATTTACTCCTTCTCATACCACAAGAACTAGGGGTCACCAAATGAAATGAAATGAATAGGCAGCAGGTTTAAAACAAACAAATGTATATATTTCTACACACAACACACAGTCAACCAAACTCTTTGCCAGAGGATGTTGCAAAGGCCAAAAGACTAACAGGGTTCATAAATCAGAGGGGTAGCCATGTTAGTTTGTACCCACAAAAACAACGAGGAGTCCGGTGGCGCCTTAAAGACTAAGATTTATTTGGGCATAAGCTTTCGTGGGTAAAAAACCCACTTCTTCAGATGCAGGGTTCATAAAAGAAGTGGAGGATAGGTCCATCAATGGCTATTAGCCAGGATGGGCAGGGATGCAAAACCAAAATCGTATTCCACTTGGTTGGGCATTAGCTGACTCTGGAGGAGACTAAAGCAGCTTTGTACAAATTGTTACTCTAATAAACACTGATCATACAGTGGGTTTCTTTTCCCAAGACAGATCCCCAGCTGCTCTCAGTTGGCGGCAGCTCCATTGACTTCTCCAGAGCGATGGAAATTCACACCAGCACATGGAGTTTGCAAGGCACACGCACTTCGCACCCCTACACTGCACCGGGATGTGAAAATTCACTTGTGAAAAATACACACCCCTGGCCTAACCCTCCCCCCCCCCCGCACATAGAGGCGTAGTGGATGGGAAGATTTCTTTTACCTTGGCTCCAAGACTTACTTGGGCAGAGGCGCTCAGGTGGGATCCTGCCAGGTTTGGAGGCCCAGCTCTGCGTGGGGTGGGGGAAAGGGGGTTTGGGACTCACCCAGACAGCAACAACAAAGAGTTACTGTAGCCACCAACCGGGGAGTGCAAGTCACATCACTTCCTGCTGCCGGGCCAGCGTGACCCCAGCCCTGCTCCCGTCTGGGTCCTAGCGATAAACTGCACGGCACCGCAGCCCAGAGGCGCTGGAAGGAGGGGGGCTGCCGCACCCCCCGGCTTGAAGTGGTTTCCATCATATGCAGGGTTTGCAGTTTGGTTCAATGGCTCTCAGCCCTCCACCCCCACACACACTGTACAAATTGTTCCAACCCCCAGCTGCAGCTCCCCCACCCAGCCCCAAGCCCCCCTGCCTTTTTGGGGATGCGCACCCCTGGACACGGGCAACCTCTCCCAGCCCTCCATGGACCTTAATCCATGACTCAGAGTCTGGGGGTGATTCGCAGGATTCCGCCCCGGTCCCCCGGGGGGGGGGTCCTGCTTTGGGGGCCAGTGTTAGGGTGACCAGACAGCAAATGTGAAAAATCGGGATGGGGGTGGGGGGTAATAGGAGCCTATATAAGAAAATCCCCAAATTTCGGGACTGTCCCTATAAAATCAGGACATCTAGTCACCCTAGTGTGCAGAACGGGGCTCATCCAGAGGGCTCTGGTTTTTGCACAGAGAGGGAAGCTTGCTCCCTCTGTGTCTTGTTTATCTTCCTGGGTCAGATGCCACCTCCCCGTCCATTGTGAGCCCGGAGCCTGGACTGAGCAGCTGCTGCCCCCCCAGTGGGGTCTGTGGAGGGAGAGACCCACATTAACCCCCCTCTGTGCCCAGCCCAGGGGTGACTGGAACCAGCCCCCGGGCTCTGCCAACACCCGCCCCTGAGCCGGAGCCAGCAGGTGATGGGGAGAGACTTGGGGAAAGGGCTGGGGGTAGGGATAAAATGCTATCTGGTGGGGGGAGGGATAGCTCAGTGGTTTGAGCATTGGCCTGCTAAACCCAGGGTTGTGAGTTCAATCCTTGAGGGGGCCATTTAGGGATCTGGGGCAACTACGGGGGATTCGTCCTGCTTTGAGCAGGAGGTTGGACTAGATGCCCTCCTGAGGTCTCTTCCAACCCTAATAGTCTATGAATTTGCTACCAGTAGCAATTACTCATCTTAAACTGCTTCTGGACCCAATCGGCTACTGGTGTGGGGTAGCCAATTGTAACCAGCAGCAGTTTCTGATGCAGGAGGTTGTGCTTATTTGCTGACTTGTCCTAATTTGCTCAAACTCGACAGTGGCGTGGGACGCAAGCAGAAAGTCTTCAGCTTCCAAACAACCCTGCCTGGTACACGTGTGTACTGATGAAGCGGACTGTAGCTCACGAAAGCTTATGCTCAAATAAATTGGCTAGTCTCTAAGGTGCCACAAGTCCGCCTTTTCTTTTCGCGACTACAGACGAACACGGCTGCTACTCTGAAACCTCTTAACAGAGTGAGGTCATTTAAAGATCATTTCTTTCGCAGCTTCGCTCCCTGCGCGGACAAAAGACAGTGAGGGCAATACTAGAAACACCGATGTCATTGCTAAAGCGATGCGCCATTACTCATGCAGACTGCATTTTGAACCCGTGTTTTAAAAATATAAATTAAATAGCACACTGGCGTGCAGCTGCACAATAGCAAAGCGAAATGGTGACGTGCTAAGAGTAATTCAGGGAATCCAGCTGCAGACAAGACAAACTGGTGAACTGCTAGACTTTAGGTGGTCAGACACGCTGGTGAGGGATTCTTTGTTTCTATGGGGCGTATGTAAAATATTTCACTGATTCAGGTCTCCTGCGGCACCTCACTGGGAGGGAGAGGAGCTGCGGTGACTCGTCATCGGGGTGCCTTGCGCCTTTCAGAGCCCAGCCCTGGGAAGCCCCTGCTGTCTGTGGGAGAGGAAATAAAAAAGGCCCTCTGCCTTCTGCCCCCGGCCCCCGCTCTGTTTTTGCAAACACGGGTGTCTCAGTCCCACCGGGGTAACTCTTACCCCCTCTGCCCCTGCCTGTGCAGGGGTTTTATCCTATGTCATCCCCTGGCAGCGTCTCACCCCTGGGCTTAGCCCTGTCTCCTTTCCCCCCTCCCTCCATCCCTGATTTTGCCCTTCAGCCCCTATCCTAACCCTGACTCCAGCTGCTTGACCCCCCTGCGACCAGTCAATTTCTGTCCCCTGCCCAGAACCTGGCCACCCCCCCTGCTCCGATTTGCCCCCTTTTTAACCCCTGTGAAAAGCAATCAGCAGAATCTTATGGCTAATAAGGGCAGGGTGAAGGGCAGTGGCTTCAGCAGATGTTACTGAGCATGCTCAGTTTGTGTGAGCATGCTCAGTGTGCCCCAAGTAGCAAATTAAGACAGAGAGCAGTTTTTCACACTACGTAGAGCAGGACAGTGACTCTGCACAGAGAGTCCCTGCTCACCCCCTGCTCTGCTCCCCCTGTGTCCCCAAGTCCCAGAGCTTCTGCTTGTACTGAGATGCACTGACCCATGGGAAGAGGACAGACATGCCCCTGGGACAAACAGCCACCAGGCAGAGGGGGAGGGAAGAAGCCGGAGACAGCAGACTAAAATAGAGAGCTGAGATGAAAGGGGCAGAAGGAGACATAAGTAGGGTCAGAGGTTCCCAGTTCCTGCTGCAGCATCCCTGGGCAGATTAACTGCCCTGGGAACAAGGTGAGCAGCAGAGACTGGAAAAGCCAGTTCCTGCCTCTGCCAAGTCGGGGCGCTGCACTGCCCTGGGGGGACAATTTCAGGGGGGACAGTGCTGTAGCTCTGTGGGCAGAACCCTGTCATGTAGACACAGCGACAGCGTCCATTGACAGAGGACCATCAACTCCCCAGCCGACGGTAGCGAGGCCAATGGAAGCATTCTCCTGTCCACCTAGCTGGGTCTATGCTGGGGGTTAGGCTGGTGTAATGTCTAGGGGTGTGGATTTTCCACACTGCACTGAGAGATGTAGGTGTGTCAGTGGTCCCCAAACTTTTCAGGGTCATGCCCCCCCCAAGCTGGGGCCAGGAGCAGGGCCGAGGCTTGTGGGGGGTGCAGATGGGAAAGGGGGCTGAGGCTGGGGCCGCAGCTGGGGTGGGTCTTGGGCCAGGGGCAGGGCTGGGAATGGGGCCAAGGTTGGGGGTGGAGCTGGGGGCGGGGCTGGCTGGGTGGTACTCTCTCCCCGCCTCCCCATGGGGGGCCTCAACCGGAGCAGGAATGGGGCTGGGAGCGGACCCGCAGCCAGGCTGCAGTGGAAGCTGGTAGCTGGTCCTGCCATTAGGTACGGAGCCAGGGATGGGGCTAGGCACAGGGCCAGGAGCTGGGGCTAAGTTGGGGGCAGGGCCAGAGCAAAGCTGGGGGCGGGGCTGGATGGCACTCTCTCCCCATCCCCAGAGGGCCCCATCATGCCCTCACTGAACATTCCTCCCCCACAGTTTGGGGACCTCTGAGCTCTGTCAACCTATATTTCAAGTGTAGACCAGTCGGGTTTAAAATGTGGGTTTAGTCCTGGTGGGTCTGTGCTGGAATAAAGCGACTCCAAGTTTTCCAAGCGTGGCCGAGTCTAGAACATTTTTCGGCAGGGAAAGAAACCTGGGGGGAACCTGGCTGCGAGATGGACTCATGCCCCTCCTGAGACCTCCCCCGTTGCCCTGACAGGCTGCTTTATAATGACCACGTTTTGCTCCGGATCGACCCATCTGCTGTGTTCATTTTGAAGGAATAAACGAGCCCAGAGAGTCTTTGCCCAGCCCTGTCTCTGAGCCTTAAACAGTTAAACATGATTTGGGGTCCTGAGTACGGAGACCTGGATTTGCTTCAGCCCATGGCAAGCGGTAGACAATTCAGGCCAGAGTTCTGGGAAATTATTCATTTCCAAGAGAAAAACAAAAGAATCAAAACGTTGTGAAACTGAAATGGAGTGCTTATGCAAAATTATTTTATTCCAACCTTATCGGTGTCCCCGTTCCAGAGAGACGATACCGGTTAGAATCACTGATGTGGTCAAACAGTCCTTCTTGGCGGGGAAGAGTTTGTTCTGTGCCTGCGTTTGGACTCGCGTGCTGGGAATGGTGGGAACTTTCCCTGCTTTTGACAAAACTGGCAGAGACAAGCGGAGAAGAGAGGGGATAGGAATGGGGGGGGGGGCAAGGGGGAGGGGGGAAGTACAGCTTTTGTTGCTGCTCTCAAGACACAAGTCCAACAACTGAGCTCCCAGTTGGGGTAGGCCTGCTAGACCCCATTTAGGACAACGCGTCCTCCCCGGGGACGGGGAAGTAAAATCTTTGTCACAATCCATTGCAGCTGTGTTCTTTCTCCTCCCCTTCTGAGCACAGAGATGCCTCTCTGTCTGTCGTTAACCTCTCTCTCCAAGGTCATGATGTAGGGTTTGTCTACACTTGAAGTGGCCGTAGACACTACCTACGCTGCTCCCATCACTGTAGTTAATCCACCTCTGCAACAGGCAGTAGCTAGGTCAATGGAAGAATTCTTCTGTCGGCCTAGTGCTGTCTACACAGGCACTTAGGTCGGCTTAACTACATTGCTCAGGGGTGGATTTCATTACAGGAAATGAGGTGTGAGCTTTGACTGAAGCTTTTCCCACACTCGGTGCATGTGTTTTTTCTCTCTTCTGTGGGGATTCTCTGCTGGGCTGTGGTTTTCTTGAGGTCCCGACAACCTCCCCCAAATTTAGGGGATTTAATAACTTTCTTCCCTGGCTGCTTCCCCGGCTGCCCCTCTGACCTCTCCAAGAATCTAGGAAATGTTCTCTGTGGAGCTTCCTAAAAAGGCCCCATGTGCTTCCATTTCCTTATGACCTTCCTGCTGTGGATTTTTTCCTGCCTGGTTCTCCCTTAACATCCCATCACCTGCTGGGATAGAGAGAGAATCCAGCCAGGAGTCACCGCTCATGCTGAGGAGAACGGAATAGTAAAGAGGGGCAACACAACCCAAGTGACAAGCTGGCCTAATTTTCTTGTGTAGACCAAGCTGTGGTGCCAGCAGGTGAAGCTGGTGAGAGAACCGAATGCCTGAGCTTCTCGGTATACATTTCACCTTGCTCGGTCATGCAGCAGTTATTGGGGTGTGTTTCCCCATCTTGGCTGGGTGTGACCTCCCTTCTGCCCATACCGGGGATATCCATTCTCCCCCTCATGCTAAAGACTCTCTTTGTGTTCCCCATTCCCCCTGTCCCACTGGGGCAGAAACTCTGTGTCTCCTTTTTCCTTCATCCAGCCATGGCAGGGTCTCCCAGTCCTCTCTCCCCAATAGCAAGGGCTCAGTGTACCCTGCAAACCCTCCTCACCCCATACCAGGGGCTCTGTGTGCCCCCCACTCCCTCCTCACCCCCACCAGGGGCTCTGTGTACCACCAATCTGTCCTCACCCCCACCAGGGGCTCTGTGTGCCCCCAATCCCTCCTCACCCCACACCACGGGGCGCTGTGTGCTCCTCACTCCCTCCTCACCCCCACCAGGGGCTCTGTGTGCCCCCAATCCCTCCTCACCCCCAACACAGGCTCTGGGTGCCCCTCAATCCCTCCTCACCCCACACCAAGGGATCTGTGTGTCTCTCCTTTCCCCACCTCCTTCCAAAGTACATTTCTTCCCCCTGGGTGGGAAGGGAGGTGTGGCTGGCTAGTATCCACGCTCCCTGCCCCCCAGACAGAGCAGCCTCGGGGGGAGGAAGGATCCAGCTAGGAAGAAGGCCGACATCAAGCCTCGTTCACTCCCCTTCCCGCTGGCTGAGCATCCGCCCCTCAGCTGTCAGCCAGGAGAGCAAGGAGCAACTTTGTAAAGCGCAAATGGTTTTGAGGTTTGTTTCTGATGGTTTCCTCCAAATCAATAGGGCTCTGCCCAGCGATGCCTAGATCGTTCCCTGACATTTTGGAGTGGATCAGCGCGAGCTCCGATGGGCAAACAGGTGCATCGCGGTCCACGAGGCAGCGATTGCGACAGGGAAGGGAGGTCCTGCCTGACCCCTGCAGCGACAGGAGATACAGTCAGGGTGGGGGAGAGCACGTAACAGAGGGAGACAGAGAGCTGGGAAAGTGACAGCCATTGGCAGATTACCGCCGTGCCCAAGGGCCCCAGCCAATTTGGGGCCCCTGGAAAAAATCTCCCCAGGCCGTGGCCCAGGGTCTGGAGGAGCTCTGCCACGGTGGGGTGCACAGAGCTTCGCAGGTCTCGGGGCTGCAGTGGGATGGTGGGAGGGAGCGTGCTGGGGGAAGGGGCAGAATGGGGCGGGGCCATGGGTGGAGCAGGGGATGGGCCATGGGGAAGGGGTGGAACAGGGTAAGGCTGTGGGCAGGGCTGCAGACAGAAGGGGCGGAAAGGGGGCGGGGCCTCAGGCAGAAGGGGTAGAAGGGGGCGGGGCCGCAGATAGAAGGGGGCAGGC